CCAGACTGAGGGAGGCGAAGCTCGAAGAGCGCATCGGCGAAATTGATCGGGAAGCCTCAAACTTGGGAGACCAGGTCGTGGCCCTCGAGGCCGAAAAGGGGCAACTATTGGCTCAAGTTGAATTTGCTTCCGCCATTGTTCCTCGTCGCTTACATGAGCTGTGGGTCCATGTTGAGGCCTAATGAGACATATACAAGGGTTTATGGGAAGCGGGTAGTATTTCCGAGGCTGTTTTTTAAGAAGCTCGGGCGAAGGCACGCGAGGCTCGTGTCAACTGCGGCTACGACCCTGTGACACCGGAGGTTGAGAGGACGCAGATATTGAGAAGGGGTCTTCTGAAGATGATGATGGGGAGAACGGCGGTGATGACGCCGAGTGAAAAGTTGTTGCAGTTTTAGTACTTTTTTTCGCTTTTTTTTGGCCTGTTTTGGCCTTTTGTAAGATGCGGTTGTTGCGCATGCATATATAAATAAAATACTCGATTGGGAGTCCGACCCTGCCCGACTCGAGTAGGATCTCGTCGCGTGAGTCCGAATGAAGTCACTTTGGATTTTCAGATCCGGGCGAGGTTGACTGCTGATTTGCCGACTTGGGCGAAGTCAGTTCTTGACTGGTGTTCGAACGAGGTCGAACTCGCAATTACCGTCTTGGGCGAAGTCGGTTTCTGACTTGTGTTCGAACGAGGTTGAACTTTTTATTTTATTTCGGTAGCCGGGGGTTGTAAAGATGTCATTCTGAGGTTGACTCATTTCCTACTTGATTCGATGATAGCCAGTGGCCGTAAAGGTGTCAGTTCGGGTAAGATCGAATTGTGACCCATTGTCAGTTCGAGCGAGGTCGAGCGTTTCTTTTGGCGATGGCCGTTGGCCGTAGGGTTTTGTTTCGAGCGAGGTCAAAATGGTAACCCATTGTGAGTTCGAGCTAGGTCGAACCTTTCTTTTGGCGAAGGCCGTTGGCCGTAGGGGTGTTATTTCGAGCAAGGTCAAAATGATAACCCATTGTAAGTTTGAGCTAGGTCGAACCTTTCTTTTAGCGATGGCTGTTGGCCGTAGGGGTGTTATTTCGAGCAAGGTCGAAATGATAACCCGTTGTAAGTTCGAGCTAGGTCGAACCCTTCTTTTGGCGATGGCCGTTGGGCGTAGGGGTGTTATTTCGAGCAAGGTCGAAATGATAACTCGTTGTAAGTTCGAGCTAGGTCGAACCCTTCTTTTGGCGATGGCCGTTGGCCGTAGGAGTGTTATATCAAGCATGGTCGAAATGATGACCCATTGTATTCCTGCTGGGGGACACTACTTCGTCGTTGTTTTATATGCGTGCGTCGAGGCGGGCTCTGGTTTGCTTAATTTCACTTTCATTTGAAGGGTACTGTGCGTTCCCTGGGTGAGTCCCAGTTCGCTCAATTTTGCTTTCATTGGAGAATATTGTGCGTTTCCTCGGTGAGTCCCAGTCCGCTCAATTTTGCTTTCATTGGAGAATATTGTTCCTGGGTGAGTCCCAGTCCACTCAATTTTGCTTTCATTGGAGAATACTGTGCGTTTCCTGGGTGAGTCCCAGTCCGCTCAATTCTGCTTTCATTGGAGATTATTTTTATTTTTATTCCTTCCTTTTTTTGATAGTTGCTCTGTACCGAGCCACTTCTGTTATTTGTGATGTGCTGCGGCTTGGAGGGTTTTGCTCGGTCATTACTTGTGGGGCGGTACGCTACAGAACCATTTTCAGGGATGTTTTGGAGGTGTCAGTCCTTCGCTCGCATACCCATGCGAGTGCTCGCGTTCCTGTTTTGAACCAATAAAAGAGTGAAGATAAACCAAAATGAAATTGTTTGTTACCTCGACTAACAAGCTGGTGAAAGAAGGAGCGGCGTTGTAGGGTTACTCGCTCCGCCTAGTCCTCGAATGGTGGTTTTGAATTTGGCGGCCGTGCTCGGCTTTGTTGTTTACTGCGTCAGGGCCTCTCACGGGTTGGGCCCACCTCACTCGCTGAAGTGTTGAAACCGAGTCCCGGTCCGATCTCGCCCGATTTGCACAAACGAGGGGAACAAGTAATACTTCGTTCATGGATCATCCGGTACGTGGGGGGATGTGAAAATAGGACAGGATGTGCCCGCTCTTTCAGAAGACCCCACAGCAGCACGTATGGCGGGTTAGTGTATAAGGTAGGTACATCAAACGGGGATGTGGTCATGCCAGACAACCGCAATTTTATTTCAAACGTGCATATATCGTGCCAAACCCATCGTTACAGGTGAGACATGGGTTTTTTGTAGACATTGGTTATAACTTCCATTTTATGTAGCAACCTGACCTAGATTGGTATGGTCATCTCGAAGGCTTACCTACCGCTCTTTCGAGTTGGTGTACGTGCCGAGATGGTGAGGCCATAACAGCCTGGTAGCGATATTTCGCCAGTTCTAGATCTAAAAGAAACTAAAAAAAATTGGCTAAGAAATCCCCATAGATGGCGCCAAATTATTTAACCAAAAGATCGTTAAACCCTTTAGTTAAGCCAACAACTAATAGAGAGAAAGGGGGTAAATCTTAGCCAAACATAATTATCTTTAGATCAAAACATATTGAGTACAAAAATTGGAGAAGAACAAACTGATTTAATATTTCTTAAGATGATTATCATACATCGAGTAGAAATGATAAGCTTACATCTATAATAAGTTTACACCCTAATCGAAAGAGCACAAAAGGAGAAGAGAGAAAGCTGTTGATAGCTAAGAGATTCCCCCTTTGCTGGTTCCGTAAAGATGGCTCTAAATGTAATAGCCCGATCTCCCCCTTGTAACGGTCTCCTGCCTCTCTATATATATTAACAATTTTTCCTTTTATCCAACGGTCTTTGATCGGCGTGCTTTCTCATGACTGAGTCCTTCATTATTTGCTAAAGACATTACACTTGTCCTGCGATGTAATCTTTCTAACGGCTTGACCCCGGCAGAGACCGTGGTACTCGTCGCCACTACGACTCGTGGGCACGACCATGGAGACGTCGACCTCTCACCGTCTCATTTAATGATAACCATCTGGTGGTCAGATTTTGACCCATATAAATATAATCCTAAATAGCTTGAAGCGATAAGCTTTTATTAGGCTGAGACTTTGGTGCCAACTAACAAAATTAATGGTAAATGAACTCTTAAGCCCAACAGAATTTGATAAGACGTTTTAGTGTCTTACTTGGTGAAAATGAATACCCCCATAGGTAGTTTGATAGTCATTATTTGAAGTACAATATTACCGTTTGAATTTCAATGATTCCGATTATGATTGGTCTAATTGACATTTACTCTCATAATTGTGTGATTAGAAATACTTCAAAACTTTAATTATCTTTGACATGATTAATGATATTTGTTTAAAGATAGAGAAAAGGTCGTAACCTGATAAGCTTAATAGCTCTCTCTCCCCCTCCCGAAACACACACACAGGCCTAGACATGTCCATTGGAGCTTGAACGAAGGATTGAAATACTCCGAAGAATAATTTAGGCACACGCAAAAAATTCAGCAAAAACTATATAGAAAAAATTCATTAAATTAGGAAGAGAACTTAAAGGAGGCTTTTTCATAACTCATAAACTCTTGAATCTCTCTAAATCGTAACTACCTCTCCACACTAGAAAATATGTAGTAGCACCCCTATTTATAATACTACAATCCAAAATTAACTAGACTAACAAAACCTATTCCAATATGAACTTGATAAATAAAACCTAACTAGACATGGATTAAATAAACTAGAAAATACCAAATCCTAAACAACTTAGGGATACTAAATAATCTCGATTTAATTTCCAATATTGAATAGTCGATGATATTCCTTACGTTTTTGGTCTATTCATTACCTTTTCTATACTCCCTCCGATCCAAAATAAGTGATTTTTTGGCCTTTTTTTTATGGTCCAAAATAAGTGAGATTTCAAGAATTAATTAATTATTTTTTTCCTACATTGTCCTTGGAGTAAATAGTATTGGAATATGTGTTAGGAGTGTTTATGTGAGATAATAAAGGTTAATATGGTCAATTCCATTGCTAATTAATGCTAAAAGGTGGATTCCTTAATCTGTGTGAAAACATCCAAAAAATCACTTATTTTGGACCGGAGGGAGTAGCAGATTGCCTCGTATTTGCCATTCCCATAATCCCATTAACAGAACTCCAGCTTGAAATAGGTGGACTTCAAGTGTCTTAATTTATTCTTTCACTTTTGACTACGGTTAAAATTAACTTCAAGTTAGAGCTTTATTAGAGGTCAAGTGAAAAAAATGAGATATTTTCCTAACAGTGAGAATATTAGTACATACAAATTTTAACGAATAACAGAGTTGTTCAATTTCAAATACTATTACAGAAGGAAATTTGACCCTTTTTTCTAAAAAAAAATATACCTCCTATTCTAAAAAATTGGAAATTTGACCCTTTTTATTTTTATTTTACCATTGAACCAGCAGGCCGTTTCTTTCAATGGATTTGAGGACCCTTTCGCCAAAAGAAATATATACACACAGCAAAACAAAATGTGGATATTATCGTCGGTAGGCCAAATGGAACGTGGTAGCCGCTCCTTTTTGTCGGTTTCTTTCAAATTTCATAATTTTCTTTTAGGAAATTTGCTCATTTAGTCCCTCAAATATCAATAAATTTTAATTTTAACCTTCTGATGCTTAGCAAATTTAACCTTCAATTAATTGAAAATACATTTTTTATCCTTCTCCTTGTAACTCTTCACAAATTTAAAAAATGATATACCATTATATTTTTTGACTACCCATGATTATGTTAAGTTTTTAGTTCTAGTGTTGTTACTCCATATTTGAAGGTAATATTTTTAAAATAGTCAAAATATAAAATATTTTATATACAAAGGGACCAAAACACTCCTTAATAAACTTGAAGTTAAATATCTTTAGTCATATATATCATAAGGACAAAAGGTTATAATTTATCAATAATTAAAGGGCCAAAAGTGTTATTATCCCTTTTATTTTTAAACATTCAAATTCACAAACTAAAAACCCTTTATTTATACGAAGCTTTCTCCCAACCGGTTCCTCTCTCCGTCTCTCGCTTCTGTAACTGATTCGGCATTGATACCAAAGGTATGGAAAAATTGTAAAAAATTACTCAGAAATTTCAATCAGCTCGATTTTCTTCTCCCCTTCTCTAATCTTCTTATAGCATTTCCCCCTTTTTTTTTGTATCATTGAAATGCTTTATCTCCGTGGCAGGATAATTGTAGTTGCTGTATATGTGGATCGTGTTAATAGATATTAACGCTCATTTTATCTGTCCAATCTGAGTTTTCTTTTATTAATTTTATTTTAGTTCTAATCCAACTGTTGTTCTCTTAAAAATGCCATTGTGGGTTGTGTTCTAGATCTTGTGCTCTTTTTATGGGAAAATGGTTAGCTTAAGATAATTGGAATTTGATTTTAAAAAATTATCTATTTATCTAAATTTGACATATAGACCCTGTTTCCAGAGGCTAATTTTTCCTTTTCTCTGATGGATCTAAAGTATTTTGGGTTGAATGATTTCCAATTCCTTTTCTCAATGGATCTTCGCCTTGAAATTTGCTGGTGAAGCAAATTCTGTTTATACTTTCATATTCGACAAGTTTCTATGGATCATAACTTATTTGATCTATTTACATATGATCTTCTTAGAGAAAGAGAGAATATTTTGATCAATTTCCAATCATCCATCTTAGATAACTTCCTTAAAAACATATATTTGATGATTATGCAGTACTTGGGGTTTTTTGTTGAGAAATCAATCAATTAAGGATGGGTCGCGGAGTAAGTGCTGGGGGTGGCCAGAGTTCTTTGGGATACTTGTTTGGAAGTGGAGAGCCTGGTAACAATTCCCAACCTACTCGCAGCCAGGAAAAAGCTCCAAGTAATGAACCTGCCTCAAAGCCAGCTGCTGTTTCACCACCTGTGGATAACACCAAGAATGTTCCAGCAGGCATTCAGAGTAGCACAAACAACTATCTTCGTGCTGATGGGCAGAACTGCGGCAACTTTCTAACAGTATGTTAGCTATCAACTTCTTATAATTCATGGTGCCATTTTTTTGAACTTGGAGTGCTTTTTACAGTATGTGAACTTGTATCTGTGTTGAATTGTGCGACTATATCATCTGAAAGTTTAAGTTGTTAGAAAGAGTATGATTAAGTTTTTGATAATTGATTACAGTTGAACCTATGACCTTTGTCTGTTGTGATACCATATTGAATAGTGTGATCATCTCATCTAAAAGCTTGAACTGTGGAAGAGAGTCACTTTCATTTATTTAGTAATATCTTCAACAATCTTCTATGCTATCCACACGGTTGTTCTTATTTGAATCCATTCATCTATTATTGGTGCATGTATTTGCATACTTTTTCTTTCTTTCTTAACAGATCTCTTGTTTTCTTAATACCCAAACTTCTGAAGCCTCGTCACTTTGTATATGCTATAAGGGGTGGTTAACTGGCTCAGTAGGCATGACCAGTCTGCATATTTAGGCCTTGATTTCCTTGCCTATCCAATGACAAGAATGTTGATAAGTATCAGCACCTTCTAGGCTTGCATGAAGATTTAACTGTTATAAATCTTTCTCCTGGAATGATTGCAGGATAGGCGTTCGACCAAGGTCCAAGCAGCACCTGGTGGTGGATCTTCCCTAGGGTACTTATTTGGTGGTGGCAGTACTGATGGCAGCAAATGATGCCATGTAACATCAACATTTGGTTTCAATAGTTTGCTTTCCAAGTTATGGTTGAACTAGAAATGGATTTCATTTACTGCAAATCAAGTAACTTTTTTCGCAATTGTAATAGTGTTTAATTGACACAGGAGTCAAACGGCTATGCAAGTGCTGAATGCATTCCATTATTTCTATATTGTTGGAGTAAGCACTTCCTCTTTAGTTTAATCTGTTGAATGTGATAGTTAGTGGATTAAAAAAATGGTTATACGTCCATATTATCCACTTAAAAAATGATTAACCAATGAGTTTAACTTACATTTGAAAAGATTCAAATTTAGGGTATGGGAAAGTAGGAATTCTCCCAAAATTGATCATATTCAAGAAGCTATAGAATCTGCCAGTAAACTCATTTTTGCCCGTATTAAATATGGATTGGGTCGGATAATTTATCCGTTTTTGCATTACCCGTTTTTGACCCACCTATATCCGACCCTACCAGCCCATTTGCCACCCCTATTGATAATGATAATCGAATATGGAGTTCTGTTAGATTAAGTTGAACATGCCACGCCGTATGTAAACAGCAGCAAGGAAACTATGATGAATATCAACACATTCGTCTGCCGTTTCATGAGGAAATTGATCTCCTTAATTGTTGAGATCCAGAATTATCACTCAATAGAGTGAAAAAACATGTCATTGTTATCAGCAGCATGTACCTTTCAAAATTGTTCTTCAAGTACACCGTATATCACCAAACTAAACTTTTGCAGAAGAAGTCCTCTTGACTGAAATTTTTTACTGAATTCAGCAGAGAACATAACCTGTAGCGGCATAACGAACCAGATTTGAACCGTACTAACCAGTAACCATAACATTTACATTCATTTTCATAAAGGTAGCAAAATTATTACTACTAGTGTTTTGGGCAAACACCCGGTTCTTCCTACTTTTCTTTGATGAGACCAAGGACTGTGAAAACTGTACAAGACACAGTTTCATAAACCACAAATGAAATTAAAAACTGACAGTTCAAGTAGCAAACAATGTTGAGATCTAACTCCAACATTCTGCTGCTGTCATTGACGACTTTGAAATTGAATAAACGGTAAATTGAAAGCAGCTGATGCATCAAAACGATACACCTGCAGTTCTGATGATTTAACAAATGTTTAACAGGCTCACAGGGCACTCTTAAGAAGAGGTGGAAGCACCAAGATGATATGGTGTTTGATTAATTTCCTTCATCTCCAAAAAACTGTTAAATTTCAATACACTGCAGCAAATAACAATTGTTATTGGCTTTTAACATGCAGAATCATCAGCAAAACATTAGTCATTGCCGTTTTCTCACTGTCTAACACCTCTTCACCCAACTCCCTGTTGGAGCGGAAGCAATAACCTGTATATATCGGGAAGGCAACTCTATGGCTGACACTACGCAAAGTATGGAAGCTCCAAGCAACCAACAACGGAGGGAGATAACACTATGTTCTGGGAAATACCTCCGGACTTTATTTTACATATTTTTAATAAAGACAAATTGGAAAAAAAACGCTATGCGATTTATCCCTATGTTATGTAATAACTAAACCTTCTATGCTTTTAATATAAAGTCTCTCCTTTCATTAGCAAAAAAAAAGTCCCAACACCAAGGCTATGAACCATCAAGCAAATCTTTTGCAAATTTCAAATTAGCTTTCACGGGAAACATTTCCTTCATACCAATAGCACCAAAGAAGAAGGAAAAAAACCAAAAATATAGCTTTGGGCATGCTTCTCTGGTTATCAAAAATTCCCTGGAACTCAAGTAGGAAAGCCAAGTAGGCAAGTACCCCATGAATGAAGCAGAAGGTTACATCCTCCTTTTCTCCTCAAATTAAAGAAAATGTGCAAAAGAAGTTTCAAATAATCATATATAATTCCTGGTTCCCAATTAATAATCGACTAGCTGTTCACTAGCACAATAACACAATGCCGTATCACAAAAGCAAAATCGGAACCACAAGAAAAATGAGGTAAACTAAATTTGATTTCAGCTTATAATTAAGTAGCAAACATCACAGTAAAACTTTGTGCACACCTTCGCACAGGAATCATAGTTATGACAACTCCAAATTTAAAGAACTAATTCTGAAAATTAAATCTAAAGAGAAAACCCTAACAGAACTCCGCAGCTCATGGTCCAGAGATAATGGGGGAAAAAGAGATGGATCCTTAGAATCCGAGCTTGGTGCGGCGCCAGTGCCTTCGCTTGGCGTTGTAACGGATGGTGTTGTCAGTGCGCATGCGGATCCAGTAAGGAATAGGCCTGTTCTGCCTCTGCTTCTTCGCCAGCTTCTTCTTTATCATGAATGTCTTGTGCGAAGGCTGAAATTGCAACAAACACATAAATCAAACAATCGTCACCGTAAACGAAGGGCAAAGGGAAACAAAGCAGTGGCGTACCATTTTCGGTTCTGCTCAACGAACTTGGCCTGCGAGACGATGGGACTGAGTCGGGAGCGGCGGATACAGAAACCCTAAGCACAAACTTATTTATACGTTCGTCGGTTAACTTGTTTCGTTTTACAAAGCATAACTCACAAGTTCACAATTAAGTATAGTTAAAAGTATTTCAATATTTCAATAACAAGATGAAAAAAAAAGTATTTCAAAGATATTTGTGAAATTAACATTTCAGGTCATCCATAAAGTATACTTAAGCTACACTGTGATTACAAATTTATTAGATCAAACAAGTTGTACAAAAGCACAACTTTATTTATTACTCCCTCCGGTTCACAATAAGTGTCCAATTTGCTTTTTCATTTTGGTTCAAAATAAGTGTCTAGTTATGTAATCAAGAAAGAATTCAATTTGTTTTTACAAAATAACCCCTATGTACATATCTGTATTGGGTGATACCCTTTTTTGCTTGAGCCCGACCGGGTTGGGTCCGGTCCGGAGCAAGTCGGGGCCATCGAACCCGACCTGGATGCAAGGTAGAACGACGGCCACGTCTACAACCGAGGTCGAGTCATTTCGAGACCGTTACAGAGCTCGATATGAGTCACCACCGGATGGAGAAACACACAAGGTCGGAAGCCGGACTCGTAACGGATAACCAAGCGTCGCCGGATATCTCGCCCAAACGTGATTTTCTCAACCACTTCAGGCCATTAAGGCGTAATTACAGGGATCCACGACGTAATCAATTGACCTACCTTATTTTTACCCTTAATCAGAATGTATAAAAGGGGATCTCTCTAAATTCTTGTAGGAAAAAGCACAATCGTTCTAAGCAATATTATATTCTGCGATTATTTACTTTAACAGCAATTGTTGAGTCTTTATCTTTATTTTCCTCAACCTAAACCTTTTGTATCTTTTAGTTCACGGATCCTTAAAACCCCATATAAATTCAATTGTTATCCGGATTTGAGGGTAAACAGTTTGGCGCCCACCGTGGGGCTAAGGATATTGGTGAGCTCTTTGATACTCTTTCTTGACGCATCACAATACACTGGTTCTTTGCAAAAGAGTCCATCTTACATTCAAATTACCAACTCATAGAATGGCACAATCAATTAATAACGAACTTGAACAGCAGACAGGAAACAATGGAATGCCCGGGCTCGAAAACCCGATAGATGCCGGTTCCCGGATGGCGCTCAACACTGATCAGGCCTCCGGATCATCGCATAGCGTCCAGGGAGAGGACGATTCGAGGGCCCAGGCAGTCGGCGAAGAGACTATCAACCTTAAAATGATTTTTGACATGCTGCAAGCCCAGCAATCGGCCATAGCTCAGCTCCAGAGCCGGGTCCAGGAGCCTGTCAGGTACGAGGAGGCTCCCCGTTCAGCTGCAATCATCAATTCAACCCCAGTACAGCCGGAACGGGGTGGGCCGGATGCTGATTCTGCGGTTCTTAGGAGGCTAGAAGAACTGACCGAACGAATCGAAAAGGGGGAGGAAAAAATCGAGGCCAACAATAAAAAAGTAGAAACATACAACTCCAGGGTCGACCAAATACCAGGTGCACCTCCGGTCCTGAAGGGCCTTGACGCTAAAAAGTTTGTACAAAAACCGTTCCCATCCAGTGCCGCCCCAAAACCTATCCCTAAGAAATTTAGAATGCCCGATATCCCGAAGTATAATGGGACCTCGGACCCAAACGAGCATGTGACAGCATACACATGCGCGATTAAGGGAAACGATCTCGAAGATGATGAAATCGAGTCAGTTTTGTTGAAAAAGTTTGGAGAAACCTTGTCCAAGGGGGCAATGACGTGGTATCGATAACTTACGCCAAAAACAGGAAGAGAGTATGCCTTTAGTATATTAACGGGCTCCATTCCTACGGTAAGGGACTCTGTTCTTAGGAACACGCGCTTGAACCTATACCATTCGCTTCGTCGGAGCTTGGTACTTTAAAAAGAAAGCAGTCTACTCCCACAAAGCCTATTAAGTGGCTAACGACAGATCCCTAGTTCGAAGATTCTTGAGAAATCTAACGAAGGGAAATTAGGACTCGAACTGGGAACAGGCCCGTTACAAACCATTTTTGAGGTACCGGAAAGGGTGTCGTATAAGTTAAGGAACGATGGATGGAAAGAACTACCCAATAACTGAATGTAGGCCACTTGAAGAGATATCTACTGCTAAAGTAAGTCTTCTTTCTTCTTCGCTTCCATAAATTTTTGGAGACTTGTCCGATCCTACACTGTGCAGGTCGTGTCGCTTCGTAAGATAAGTTCGGACATCGGAGAGACTGAAAGCAACGAGCTGACTCTTTTTTCCTTGACCAGTTTTTTGTCCCAACATCCGGGTTTTTCGGCAAGGTTTTTAACGAAATCAGCAAGAACATCGTGCTACTATAAAGGTATCCAAGGGTAAATCATTGTATACTACGATCGCCCTCCGAAGAAGGCGAAGGTCAATAAGAATAAAATGTAAGGGTCAAACGGCCAAAGCGAGCCGTGCCCAACTAACTGACCTAATCCGCTCGATCAGTTATGATGTATTAACTATTACTGTAATAGCAAAGACTATCTGATGCATATTCACATCATAACCTAAAGATTTTGTTCGATTCTCTTCGGTATGCTTTCAAGTCCGATCACATAAGACTCCTCGAGGCACATTTGAACATAAGACCTCCTCGAGGCACATTTACATAAGACCTCCTAGGCACATTTGAACATAAGACC